TCATTAAAAAACCAGGACAATTTGTCTATGGCCAAGACAAATTCTGGAAAATCAAGACGTCTGGCTCCCATAGATGATACTATCGTAATCCCCCTCGACAACGAAGAAGGCACAAAGGGCAATCTTCCGGATAATAAGGGCAGTACCTCTTGATTTCCTATTGACATATACATATATATATTTTTTTAATTTAGATTAAATTTTGTCCAGAGTTTTGGGAAGGAAGTTAGGTTGTTGGTCCGTACAATTTAGGTTAATCAATTGGCCTGTAGCCGGTTTTAATAATAAGGAAATGTGGTATTTTTGATGAGATTGATGATATATTCGCATTGGTTTTGGTATTTGTATTGATACTGAGATTCTAGGATGGTATTGCTCTTTTATTGGTACTACTAATGGTATTAGTATTGTCATTAATATTGGTATTGCTATTGTATTGATACTTATAGCGGTAATGGAAATGATAATATTATTAAAGAATAGTTTTTGTTTTAATTAGAAAAAAATCGATACAATTTTTGAAACATATGTATGTTTTGTTAACTTCTTCAAGCTCTAAATCTATTGACTTCGTTCGCTTTTGCTTTCTCGCTTTACGATTATGGACTTCAGTTGAATTAACTCACTTTTGTTTGGCGATTGCGAAAATCCACACCCACAAATTAGAGCTCTTCAGTGAATTTCCCACCAAAATCTTAGCCGTGAGAGCATTAAAATATTTGCGTTGTAATGACATTTCGGTTGCACGCTAATTAATTAACCCGAAACTAACTTTATCAGCACAAAACTATTTCATGGCTCATTTAACCTGTGAACTGGAACAGGGATACAATCGGAAAGTGGCAAGTTTCGAAACCACAGCAACATATTTTTGGGTAAATTTGTAAGCAGAACGGAAGTGAAGTGGTTTAAGTGAGCGGCAAACAGCCCGGCAAATTATTGGGCCATCGAAGAGGGTTGAAGAGGTGTGTCAGTATGTAAGTATGCATGCACCTAGCCTACATATACATACATACCTTATACATATACATTCCTTTCCTTCCAACAACAAACATGAAATGAAGTGGTGTGTGATTTGCTAAATTCACTTGCATACGTTCGCTGTCAGCGACAATTGCTGCAATTGAATTATTTGTATAAATTAAAAACAGAAATTAGCCATGTCAATGATTTGAATGAGATAAGCAGCGGCGATACAAAGGCCACATGCCACCAACAATCAGCAACCAGCAACCAGCAACCACCAACAACACAAAAACCCAAAAAGGTGTAGGGTGCGAGTGGCGTAGCGGAAAGGGCGGCTTGAGGTAGGCTGGTGCGCTTTCGTTGTTGTTGTTTTTTTTTTTTGTTGCACGCTCATTTAAAGACGATCATTGCTGTCGAAGTTGCCACGCGCCGAACACACGTTCCCATGGTTAAATGCTGCAAACAATTGCCGCAGGCGAGAAAAACCGCCGACTTGGCCGGCCAACGCGTTGCAACGCTGAGATGCGGCAGCTCAATGAGATGAGCCCCATACACACATACATAGCTACATATGTATGTAGCACGCATGCGCGCATCGGTTAACACCAGCAAAACAATAGTTGCAACTTGCAAGGGAAGCGGAGAGGGGAAAGACAAAAAATTTATAAAACTCCATCTGTTGGACAGGACCATCGGCTCTTCGGTGTGGCGGCGGCCGTCACTCAACGTATTGAGCACAATCTCTAGTATAATCTTGTTATAAATCACTGTAAATATGTTTGTTAACTTAATTTTATATCCTAAAAGTCATTTCTTTTTCGCCTGCACCCTTTCGATTTGCGTGGTCAAATAAGACCAAATTTATGACGCCAAATTTTCGCCTTTTTTTAAGTTGCTCCATTACCATGCCACTACTATCTATTGGCATTAACATTACCATTATAATTACAATTACCATTACTATTTAAATTACTATTACCAGTACTTTTGCAATATTTATCACCGTTGCCCTTGCCAATGCAATGACAAAAACCATTACCATTCTCATTACAATTACCATTACCATTACAATTACCATTACATTAGCGTTATTATTTAAACTACTATTATCATTGCAATTGCCATTACAATTGACATTACCAATACCATTACCATTACCTTTACCAGCTCTCTTCACAAAAAAGCGGCCCCTTTGAAATCAGATGCATACTTTCCGCTGTTGCATATTCTCCATATTTACAAATGTATGCCTGTAACCAAATACATCAAACACCATTATAATGCCGTTACTATTGGCATTACCGTTTCAATAACCCTTACCATAGCATTTACAATTACCATTTCCATTGAAATTACTATTACCATTACCTTTACAATTACCATAAACTTCGCAATATTAATTAAGATTACAATTACAATTACCATTACCATTACAATCACATTTACATTACCTTTATTATTTAAACTACTATTACCATTGTAATTAAAATTACAATTGACATTACCAATACCATTACCATTACCTTTAGCAGCACTTTTAATTTACATCCAAACACTTGCCGCTGTTGCATATGTATATATTATCCACATTTACAGACAAAATTTACACAAATATACGACTGTAATCAAAAACGTATTTTTAAACAGGTGCAGTTATTCTCGATTTCCATCCGATTACCACCATGCTAATCTCATATTACTTCATATGCTTCATTGTCTTTTGCATTACCACATTTTTGTATTGTTGCCTACAAATATGAAATAATACTCTCTTCTTCTGTTTTCGCTCTCGTTATGCACTCACAAAGCTCCACCCATTTTAAAACACCCCACAGCTTGCAAAAATTGATGCTAAACTTTTTTCGCCCGAGCCATGTATCAGCAACAGACTTCAAAGTGAAATGGAGTGCGTGGGTGGTAGGAGGGAAACAAATATGGCTGCCACATGCTGTGAATGAAGTTGAACTGTCACGAGCAGGTACATATTGAAGCAACAATGAATTCGCTGTTTGTATGAGGTATGTACATATGTAGATGATGCGGAGGTTTATGCCCAGTAGGAAAAGGGTGGAACATACATTTAAAAGAAGGTCAAACTCCATGCCATGCGCCACTTAGATACCAATAGCTTAAGATTGGCTGATTGGCGGTGAGAACTAATTCTCACTTGAGGTCATGCGTTAGCCAAAAATGGAACCCTCTCTGGCTAACGCATTCGCAGTCTCGATTCCGGAGGCATAATGGCAGCTCGACTTTCCGAGGCAACACCAAATCGTTACTACGAGCGTCGCCGATAGCAAATACTTCTGCCTAGAAATGCTCCCAAATCCAAGCAGACAAACTGGTCATATTACTCCCAGGAAGTCAGAAAAGTCTTCTTCTTCTTAGCTAGCGCCGCGACCGTTCGTCGGTTTGGGCCGAAACCAAACAATTTCACCAATTTCCTCTCTCCTTTGCGGTGTCCTTCTGCACTTGTTCCTTCCATTGTTGGCGCCGTTTCTTTCGCTCTCCACCCATAGATGCCCAATCGAGGGAACTTTCTACTGGAGCATCGTCAACCAGAGCCAGCGCAATCGTGGTATTTTAAAATGCTTAACTATGTCCAAGACATCTAAAAGCTCGTACAGTTCGTCAGTTCATCTTCGGCTGAAGCCGTCGCCACGCGATTAGGGCCATAGATCTTGCGTAGAATAGTTCTTTCGAAAGCCCCAAAGCCTTTCCATCTTTCTTCGACATCGTTCATGTTTTGCGCTAAATAAGACGACGGGCGTGAGGCGAGATTGGTAGACCGTAATTTTTGTTCGTCGAGAAAGAGCTCCTCTTTTCAATTACCTACCAAGTCCAAAGTAACAACTGTTGGAAAAATTATTTTTCGCTTAATCTTCACTTTACTATTGGTAGTTGCCTTGGTATCAAGGAGGCTTTCAATAATTTATTACCAGAGGTGACAATAAAAGCCCAAGGGCTACTCTTTGGACTAATCTCCCGCGTGCTCCACGACATAACTGTCACAGCGAAATGGACAACGCCTCTGCCCAGCGCAAAGTGAGCAGGAGTGGTAAACGACGTCCTGGAGGAGCTGGAAAGGAGAGGATGGCACTCATCGTCGGAGGAAAGTTCTTGGACATTCTGCAGAACTGGGATTATAAATTTACCTGCTAGTTTCGGCCTAGACAGAGGGAACTTGTACTATTTTGTTCTCTGCGGACAGGACAGGAAGTGATCGCGGAAGCCAAATATTCCGGGGCGAGTAAAAAGATAATCAGTGGATCTCTTCTGCTGTAAAAACCCTATGGAGAAGAGATGGGGCTTCTCTCCAAAAATGATATATTGGCTATATGAAGCCTTAATCAAGCCAATCATTTTAAATGGGGTCACTGTCTGGTGGAATTATCTATAAAAATCTACTCTTGCTAAGAACCTGGAGTGCGTGCAAAGTGCGGTCCTCGTTGAAATCAACGGAGTGCGCCCAATACGCCAAGACCCTTTGTGTGTTGCCAGGAGATACTATTTCCTGTCGCTGACGTCCCTTGGTCTCAGGCCTCAGATGTCAATATCATCCATGCTTTTTGCTGTTTAGAAACCCCACTTCATTTTCTCATTTGCTTTCAAATTGGAGCAACAGAAAACAAATCCACAAGTATTCATTCTAAGCTATTTCACACAATTTTCATTTGCCAACAAAGGCACCCAGTATTCACACGACCATAGCTCCGCCCATTTGTCCAACAACAATGTAATGAAAGTACATAGCAAAACTCCATGCATTCACGTTTATGTGTGTGTTTGTTGGAAGGATATGCACATTGAAATCTCTGCCATTATTTATTACAAAATATGTTTAAGGGTAGCTGCGCGTGTATCCTTTCTACCCAGCTCAGCTTATCAAATGCAGAGATTTGCTGAGATTCTTTTTAGATTTTAGAGTGTAGCATAAAATTCCATAGTAGTAAATGTACATACTCCAGTTGGACCAATTCGCTGTATAAAAGGATATGCACTCACAGGAAGTAAATTAATTCTGAAAAATCTTATTAGCGTACGGTTGTGCGGTGTTGTGGATTTAGAAAGTTAATCTGAGAGTGATTTGTGGATTGATTAAAAGTGATTTGAGTACTGAAGACTCTTTTAAAATTAAATAAGAACTGCAGATATAGACAACTCTAAAAACCAAAGCAATATCGGTTATCTAAAAGAATATGTCGCGAAATCAATTGCCCGATTCATCGTCCTCGCCGCCAATAAGGTTAATATAAGCAAAAACACATAATTATTACAGAACCGACAGAATACTCTTTCACTTACATTTGTACATAAATTGGAAAAAGCAGCGAAAATTCCAAAATTTTATCGAACAGTGTTTCAAAGTATCTAGCTTTCCATGGAATCACTGTATTAATTTTTTGTGTTCAAAATAAATTATAATTCTTAGGGATCTATACTAAAAATTCATTACTTCAGCTAATTATATGAATATGTACAGTGGCGGTCAAAAATGGATGAATGGTGTTTCGTTTTTAATATTTACAACGTTTTTCAAGCTAAATTTTTTTAGATATTTTTTTATAAAAATATGGTTCATGCCATAGTAAAAATTATATAAATCATACTTTCAAACTTTATACAGAATTTAGAAAAATTCCATAATCTTTCATCTAAATTTCATCTAGATTTTTGGTTAAGCCAGAATTCTTTTAAATTTTTTGGGCATGCAGTTAACAGGATTATAACATTTTAGTAAAATTAGTGCAAGTTTTGAGCGGCTAAAAAATCGCATTGAATTTTAATAATTTTTTTTTTTCATGAACCATATTTTTATAAAATAATATCAAAAAAGTATAGCTTGAAAAACAATTTAAAAAATTAAATACGAAACACCATTCATCCACTTGTGCCATATTTAAAGCTGAATATGAATACATATCGCACACGATCCATTTTTGAAGAACTCAAAATTTGGCATTTTTCAAAATATGCACTAAAAATGTACACAGAGGTCTTATTTACCTTTCAGAAAAAGCCGAAACAGCGGTCTTTTCATATAAGAATTGCAATTTATAAAAACTTCCATTGATTTTTTTTCTTGCAAACGGTCTTGCGCATTTTCTTCAAATTCATGTTTTTATGGAAAGGGCTATCAGCAATAAAGTATCAAAAATTTACACGATTTTTAGCCTTGTAAAACTTGCATTTATTTTACTCATATTATTCAGATTAAAATGTCCAAAACTTTGGCGGAAATTTGTTGTTTTTTTCAAGTTTGAAAGTTTGAATTAATTTTATGGTTTCGACTAAAGCAAGAAAAATCCCTATCGCCAATTCCATGCGAACAAATCGTTCCCATAATTTCAAATGCAAAACAAAAACAAATTGGGAAAAATTGTATTTGTTTTGCTTTTAAATTTTTTGGGAATATTTGTTCACATAAAATTCGCGATAGCGTCGAATATTTTTATAAAAAAAAATAAAAAATAAAAATAACTTGAATAACATAGCAGATTAGGGCGAGTCATTTTTTTATTCGGCGTGTATAGAAGGATTCTACGTGTAAATTTGCTGAAGAAACCATTGGTCTAAAACTCAATTTGGAGTCTGCCAAATTGCGAAAATATATTTCGAAGAAAATATGAAAATTTTCACGGTTGCGTCGTCTGATGGAGGTTTTAAGAAAAAGAGAAGTGCAGAAATGGATTCCTCATACCAAAAAACCGCTTATAGCATGTTTTCATACAAGATCTAAGCACTTCTTTACGACACTACAGCAAAATGCAAAGAAACCTTATTTTCGCAATTCGGCAAACTCCAAATTGATTTAAGACCCATGGTTTCTTCGGTAAATTCTCGTAGAATCTTCTGAGGTGTTGGTAACCGGCTATTCTTGCCCCTGAAACTAAGGTTGCAGCAATCAAGTCCTGAGAATAGTTTGTTACTGCAAAGCAGGGGGAGCCTACATACATACATATATATAAGACATCCAGTGTTCATACGATTTGGTGAAAAAACTCTGGTTATTGTATGACTGTTTTGTAGTCAGACGTTTACTTATAGTACAAGCAGTTTCCGCCAAGTAGGCTGCGATTTGATTTGGTTTACCACGGCATGTTTCAAAGGAAAATAGCACGAAAGACACGCAAGAGTCTTTTGTAAACATTTCTTAACTTAACTTATCCTCAATCCGCCGGTTAGAACGAGGGCAGCCGTGCCACAAGAAACCAGGTTTGGCGTGACCATCTTATCGGCAGCTGATTTATTTCATCGCCGCAAAAGTGGTCTCACCCTCCTCCACACAAAAACTCACGCTATGACCGAATTCCCGGCAGTAGCGATATCAGTCCTTTGAGTGTAATTGTCACTTTTCGTTAGAATATTGGAGCAAGCATTCAGCGACAAAACAGCATTCCACAAGGCGCTACTAGTTTCCGTGTACGTAACCTCCACAGGCCATATTCTCCTGGGAGACACGGAGCGCGCTGTCAATCGCAGAGAAGGATCTCTTTTACCTGCACTTCACTGCCCGCTTCCGCGTCTCTTCACTCTGGGAAATGGAAACCAACCCCATGCCATCACTAGTAGATCGTTGAATGAAGAGGTACAGCCACTCCCACTTCCTCCAGAATGCGCTTACCCTCATCAATGCGCGTAGATTTTCACACGTCTGGGACCACCTAAAGTCTAATTTCTAGGTTCATCTTTCCCATAGTTTCTTAATTTCACGCAGCTTCCAGTGTGCAACTTAGCCCTGCTACCAAGTTAGTCGATTTTTCAAACCTGTGTGAGACGCACCACAGCCATTCAGATCATTCACAGCTTTTGCATTTAAGTCGTCTTTTACGGTGCGGGTATATTCTAAGCTCCCTATCCTAGAGGGCTAACCAAAAGTACAAATTTCTTTCCAATCAGTCGTAGAAGTTCGGCATCGCCCATAAATCCCTTTCAAAAGTTGCGTTCCAGATGCTTCACGATTTGCAGGTTTTTACAGGAAGTCGTTCCAGGTGACCACCTCCCATAAGGTTTATTAATGGGGAAAACAGCTGTTCCTGCAAATCGTGAATTTCGTGAATATCGTGGAGCATCTGGAACGCAACTAAAGATAGCATGTTATGTAATAATGACGCGAGACTATTTATTTTGCCACCACTGTACATGCAAAGGTAGTTTCTAGTCATTTAGAGGACCGGTCATAAATTTTTAGTTGTCTTTACTAAATATTTTACAAATTTGCCTACTGTTTTTACTTCGCCCTTACACTAAGTAGGTAATTCAAACGCCATTCCCTCTCTTCTACTTACAGCCACCTCTCATTTCATAACTTCGACGATGACATGATCAACGATTTGCCGTCGTGCGTTTATGCTGGTGCAGCACATCACGTGAGCGCCGCAGCGGGTGGCCTTGTTGGTGGCGGCGGTAATCTGCGGATGAGTACAAGCAATTTGCGTCAGATGCAACAACAATACTTACATCATGCGGGTAAAGCTAAATCGATTTTTTGATTTTTCGAGAGTACTATTTACATTTACCCTCCAACCTTTAATTCGTTCATTTGCAGAAAATCTGCTGGATTCATCAACAGGCATGTCACTTGCCTCGGCCAGCTCTTCCACCGGCTGTGGTGGTGGTGGTGGCGGTGGCGGTGCCGGCGGTAATGCAGCCTTGCTCTGCAATAGTCCTAATGCGAGCAGCAGCAGCGTCGGTTATGGTAATGCCCCGGCAACAAATGCAACGACAGCGACAACACCGTACAAGCTGCAACGGCAACAGGCGAACGTACGCGAGAGGAAACGCATCCAGAGGTCGGCACCAACTGGGTACACTAAATGGTCTATTTTTCTTTTTTCCAGAATTTCACTTGCATACATGTAGTACATTCATAGATACATATAAACAAAAATAGATAGAGCCATACATACAAACTAGTTTTCAATTAATTTCTTACACCCCCAGTTATTTAACTGTTAATTCATTTTGCTAAATTTCAAACTTTTCTTTTATCTTGTCATTTTTCCGCGTCGCTGTGCCTAATGTTGGCTATTGTTCACCTTCTACAGTAGCATCAATTCGGCTTTCGATGAGCTGCGCGTTCACGTGCCCACCTTTCCGTACGAGAAGCGATTAAGTAAAATCGACACTTTACGTTTGGCCATCGCTTATATTTCACTGCTGCGCGAAGTCCTACAGACCGACTACGATCCGTTGACCTATGTGGAAAAATGCTTGCGCGGTGAGATTAAGGCCGATCGCGCCAATTGGAATACTAGTGGTGAGTTCATTTTTTACTTTTGCCAAAAAAAAAATTTAGCTACAGGGCAATACTGGCTAAGTTAGTTTCGATTCTTTCGGAAGACAATTGAAAGACAGTAGGCCAGATAATTTGAAAGATTTTGTTTATTCTGGCACGAAAAGTCTTACAATAAAAGCTCCCTTGCCAATTTTCATAGTGGAAAGCTTTTTTGACAGAGAGCACAGAAAACAAAGAATCGCAATGGCCGAGCAAGCAAAGCACTGGCGCGATGGCTGAGGTTCGAGTTCTCAGGCAGTGGAATTATTTTTTCTTTTTTTGGGTAATTTGTTCGTTCCTTTACTTTAGTTTTAATTTTTATATTTTTTTTTGAGAATTTTTTTTTTATGTAATTTAATTTTTACAAACCTAAGTATATTTTCTTCTTTTTTAATTAAATTGTTTTCATATTTTTTTTAATTAATTGTTTGAAAGAGAACAAATTTTATTTTATTTAATTATTAGGAACATATTTTATTAATTTTATTCTTTTAAAAATTAAATTTAGTTTTTTTAATTTCTTTAGATTGTATTTTAAACAGATTTTTTTAAATCGTATAATTTTCAGGAACTTGTTTTCTTTAGCTATTATTTTTTCACTTTTAATTAAATTTTATATTAATTAGTTTTTATTGTTTTATAGTGTCATTTAATTTTAAAAAACGTATTGTATTAACCTTTTTTTATTAGATTATTTTTTTTTTATTTACTTTTCTTTTTATTCATACTTTTTAGTGTTTTGAAAAGAAAACTATATAATTAATTTTTTTCTTTTCTGATTCTATTTTTCCTTTTTAATTTAATTTTTAGATAACGATATTTTAAAAAGGAAATTATTTTTTTTTTTAATTTTTAGTAACTTATTTTATTTTTTTTTCTTTTCAAATGCGGCAACCAGAGTGGTCCCTCTTAAGTATTTTGGGTCGCTGATCCCGTATCCGAAACCGGAATTTAAAAATGTATATTTTTATTTTTTCCCACCATAAGAGTTTATAAGTACATATAGCCCTAGTATAAATGCAGTACTATACGACATTGCACTTTACACTTCATAGAAACTTTACCTGGTACCATGGCCCGTGCCATTCACCCAGTGTGTTCTAGTAGGGTACTATGTACATTAGGATGCATCACTCTCCAAACCAAAAAAATCGTTGCTGTTTTTCCATCGGAATAATAAAATTTATTACATTCTAAGAATTCGGCCAAAATATTTTGCAAAAAAGTATTAAGCTTTACGTGAGCTGAACCCCTTTGAAAATACCTCCAAAAATTGAGTCTTTTACAAATAAAATTTGTTTATAAAATTTTTTTCCAAAAAAATCAACTCAGATGATAGAAGAGCCACAGTTATGCAAAAGAGAATGCCCAAAAGATCTGAAAAAATTTGTTTTTTAATTAATCGACGTAATCAAATTAACGAAATTTTTGGAGGCATTTTCCAATACGTAAATCATAATATTTTTCCTAATTATTTTGGCGAAAGTTCTTGAATATAATAAGTGGGGCACCCTAATGTTCATATTTTTTTAATGTTAAAATCGACAAATAATTATATTTACAGTCTCTGAGATATTGAATTTTTTTGTGTGTGAAATTTTAAATATAAATATTTCTGAACATTTTTTTTTAATAAAAATTAACTTCAATCCGTTTCTGCATACTCGTATTTACAGATCTCACAGCGCGCCTATCGTGGATCAACTGGGAAAATTTGGGCGTACATCCGGGACGTCGTACCCTACTCACCACACTTGCATTATCTTCGGAGCCAATGTGCGGAGCGCACTGTGGGCCATAAATAAATATTCCAATTCCAAATGACAAAAAATTATAATCGACTCCAAAAACTTTGAGGCATACGCACATACATATCATATTATATAATTTCGTTGTGATACTAACTTAGTCCCACTGTCTTCCGTTTACGTAAATATATTTGTGTACTTTAAGCTATGTATAATGCATATAAGCGCAAGTAAAAAATTGAAACATCATAAAATTTAAATTTTTATTTTCAAATATTGATAACAAGCATTTATTTGTTCGACAAAAAGCGTTTTTTTTTTTGTTTTTGTATTGCTACATACATTGTAACTTAGCTGCATAAATTTTTATGATGAATATAAAAATAAAAATTAATTTAAAAATTATACAAATTAAGTATTTTAAATGCTTTGAGTTGTTTTCTGCTATGAAAAAGGATTATCTATCCGTACTTCGAAGTTAAAACTTCGTTTAAAAGAAGGGTGTCAAGGATATTGATTTTAAGAGAGAGAGAGAGAGCTTCCATCTTTCAACTTTCAAGAAAAGACGTATGTTGAAGGTAATATTGTAATATTGTTAGAAGTATTGGAAAACTAAGGATGGTATAGAAGCGAAGGTATCTGCTGAAGTAAGGAGGTAGGTTTTTTTTTTTCAATTTACAAGTAAATTTGTCAACTTTGATTGGTCTAAGCATTTTATTAAGCAAGATAATTGAAATAAATATTTTTCAATTTTTAATTTTCATGTCTACGCACACATACATACATACACATATGTAAATTTACAATAGTTTTACTCTTTGATATGCAGTTCTTTAATTCGACAATTGAGTGTTTTTTATTCTCTAAATAAGTATTTACGTATTTCATATTTTTAATTACTTGATTCTTATTTAATTACGTACATAATTACAGTAAGGTATGTGTATTTAGAAATATGTTTGGCATTGAGTTGTTCGTTCATTGAGTTTTTTTCCTTAAGTAGGCGAAAGCATCGGATTGCGCGACACTTTAATCCGCTAAGCCTAAACACTACCCTACCACAAATCATTCCTACGGAACCACCGCTTAGGTATTAGCTAAGTGTCAGACTTCCAAACTTCAGAGGAATTTTCTACCGTTAAACTACTCTTCTATGGGGCAGTCTCAAGACGGTTTCCAGCCAGTAAATATCGAGGGCTTTTTGGGCAAGTCGGACAATACGTACTATTTTCCTGTACAAATCTAAGAAGCCAATACCTTAAACTATCGTGCCACCTAAGGATTTGTTGAGTGAAAGTTCCAATTTTTTCTCTCCATACACTGGCCAATATTTGGTATGAGCTTATGAGTTCACCGATCTTAGAATGACGTTTGCCCAAAATTACTGCCACGCTGAGAGGCTCACTTTCTTTTCTGCTCTAATTCTAGTATTCCTTAGATGTTTCTCCCTAACTTATTTGGCACTATGACCGCCTTAGCGATTTTGGCCGAATTCGAGAAAGCTTCTCTTCTGTGTCGACTAACGCCAATTGGAAATGCCAAGTGAAGCCAAGTCCTTCTGCATTTGGTATTTCCATTGCAGTGGGGCTAGCACCAGCAGGTTCCAAGTTGAATACTTTCAGAGCTGGAGCATTTCGGTCCATTCAGCGACGCCAGTGTATTTTAATCCGCCGCATATATACATATGGTTGTAAAGCTCATTCAGGTAATTGTTCCGTCGCCTGCGGTATTCGCCATCACCAAATCTTTCTCTCGAATACTCCAAAAGCCGCCTCATCGGATATTGTCATTGTCCATACTTCTGAGGCATGTGAAGAGTTGGTTGCTGGCATTTGACGAGTCTCCACATGTAGGACACTCATTGGCGATATTGAGGACGAATCTGGAGAGGTAGTTGTTGAGACGGCTACAATATCCAGACCGTAACTGGGCCAAGGTAGCGCAGGTGTCTTTTGGCAGTTCAAACTCCGTTGACGAGCAAAGGTCTGTTGGGGTGCTCCCTTCTGTGCCATCATACCAGAAACTGCTTGCTGAGCATTTTGTTATGCTCCCTTACGATAAGAATTTTGGCCTCGCTGTGCAGGTAGGGCTCAGGCGACATCAGTAGGTATCCTGTCGCTGTTCGGAATGCGGCGTTCTAACAAGTCTGAAGCTTTGCCCACTGCGTCCAAAGCTATATGTATATATGTATATCCTTCGCATGATTCTTCAAATGGCATCATACGAGTTTGTGGATTTCTCTGCTATGTATGTATTGCAAATGATCCTTAAACCTTTGCGTAGAGTCGAATATTACTTGCAGGTATTTTAGGCGTGGCAGTGACGTAGTCTCATAATCTCCCACAGTAATTATAATGCTTTCGGTTTTATGCTCGGCGAGTTTTTAGCCCATCGTAGAGTACCAGTGCCGTTCATAATGTTTGCCTACCGCGACTACTGCAAGACCATCAGCGTACGCAATCAACTGTGCGGAATAGGGTTGGCGTAGTTTTAGAGCACCATAAGGTTCCAGATCAGAGAGCCCGAATCAGAAAATTATGCATATTTCTTGTCGCGTTTTTCTTTATCATACTTGAGGGTTCTACAACGAAAATGCATAGCTCATTATAATATTTATCAGGTAACGAGGAGCAAGGTTTTGATTATATTTGCCCCGTACAAGCGCGCAGTATTTTTAAGTTCCACCTTTCCATCTTTTGCCACTCCCGGCAGCTTTTGCGATGTCTAACACTCTTTAGCCACAATCCGCATCAAAGCTAGATTCTTCAACATCTCGCTCA